CGCCACAACGCCCGGCTATTTTTTGGTTGCAGCCGTCATTGTTGTTTGGCGGGTCCGGGCTGGGGATTTGAACCCACCACCTTCGGTGTACGTGGCTGGCGCCTTAGCCGGTCGAGCTATAGGCGCCGAGCCCCCCATCTTTCTTTATGGCTGCATAGTATTTCATGGTGTACGTATCCCACAGTTTGTTGATCCATTCATGGCTCAATGGGCACTTGGGCTTCTTCCATGATCTGGCTATTATGAATTGGGCTGCAATAAATATTCTGATACAAATATCATTGTTGTAATGTGATTTTGGGTCTTCAGGATATATACCAAATAAAGGAATTGCAGGATCAAATGGCAAGTCTATTTTTAGTTCTCTAAGTGTTCTCCAGATGTCTTTCCAAAAGGAACGTTTTAGTTTGCATTCCCACCAGCAGTGTAGGAGGGTTCCCTATTCCCCACATCCATGCCAGCATCTCTGGTTTTGGGATTTTGTGATATGGGCTAATCTTACTTGGGTTAGGTAATACCTCAAAGTAGTTTTGATTTGCATTTCTCTGATGATTAAGGATGGTGAGGATTTTTTCATATATCTGTATGCCATGTGCCTATCTTCTTTAGAGAAATTTCTTTTCAGGTCCCTTGCCCAGGCTGAGATGGGATCTCTTGTTTTTTTCTGGCTAATACATTTGAGTTCTCTATGGATTCTGGTTATTAAACCTTTGTCAGAGACATAACCATCAAATGTCTTCTCCCATTCTGAAGGCTGTCTGCTTGCTTTACTTACTGTGTTCTTGGATGTGCAGAAGCTCTTTAGTTTGATCAGGTCCCAGAAGTGTATTTTTGATATTCCTTCAATTGCCTGAAGGGTCCTCCTCATAAAATATTCGCCCAGGCCGATTTCTTCAAATGTTTTCCCTACACTTTCTTCTAGTATTATTATGGTTTCATGTCTTAAGTTTAAATCTTTAATCCAGTGAGAGTCTATCTTAGTTAGTGGTGAAAGGTGTGGGTCCAGTTTGAGTCTTCTACAGGTTGCCAGCCAGTTCACCCAGCACCATTTGTTAAATAGGGAATCTTTTCCCCACTCAATGTTTTTAATTGGCTTGTCAAAGATCA